GCTGGCTCCACTTGGAACAACAGCATGCGATGGAGGCTTCTCTCATGATGTGTGTTTAACGGCCCTCACTCGTCGTACGATGGCACGATGGAAACCAGAGAATAACGACAGACAGTGTGCGTTCAGCCTGATCAACTGTAGCGGCAGAGGACCCTCCAGACCCCGAGTCCCCTCTCTTGTAGGGCGACATGGCCCCCCAGTGACCGGCGCGGTTAGTCTCGCAGGGATGCCCGGTGTAGGATGTTCACTTGAAGAAGACGAGACGTGTGGGGATGGGCACGGTCTGGAGCTTGGACATGGCCCATCCGGGGCGCCATTCCCCCGACCTGGGGACGAGTTGCGTGGATCGGCCGCCGGTGTCACCTTGAGCTTTCCTGGGAGCGCATCTGTAAGGCATCGAATTTCTGCTAGCCTGGGCGAGAGCTTGCCCACAGACACTGCAGCTTATTTCAACACAGGATCGTCCTCACTAGTGTGCTCGGCCACACGCACTTCTCGGGACCTTCTGCCGCTGGAAGCTGTCTTGGTGTCAATATTGGCGAGGGTTAGCGGCGCTCGAGAATGACGAAATGAAATCAGACAGACTGCATAGTGCAACAGACGAAGATGGACATCGGCACCGTGCAGAGTCAGGTGGGCGAGGCCTGCGATGGGAGTTGATGCTGCCATCGGGCCACAGCGCCTCTGCGTTCACTTGACCATCTCCTCCTGTAGCCTCCCGGCACAGCTCATCTGGTGCCATGTCGTACCCAACGGCGCCGTTGGCCTTCCCGGCTATCGCGTCTAAGTTGTGAGACCAGCCGTCGTCCTCGTCCATAGACAAAAATGCCGTGGCACTAGAAGCAGACAGCTTCGTTCGCAGGCAGCTGTCATGTTGTCGCCGGTCGGTCGCTAACACCCCACGCCTGAGGCTGAGGTGCGCAGCGCACATCAGGTACAAATACCGCACTCCCGGGTCTACCGCCTGGCGTGGGAGCACTGTGCCGGTGCGTCAGTGAAGCTGATTTGTATCTCTGCTCATGACCTTGGACGCTATCATCTTCTTGGTCCATCTCATCTCGTAATGGGTTCCTGATGGGGCATGGGCGTGGTTTCAAATAGGTATGGCAGCACACGACTCTCGCTAGTCGCAAAAGAGTCCATTTGGCATTCGAGATTGGAGAAACCGTGCATCTTGAGCACCTCCCGTTGTTGGAGTCGTCCCCTTGCTGATCACACCCTGTGGAGAATTGGTCCCCCACCCACTCGACCAAACCAACCGAGAGTGGGCGTCGTGGGCTCGAGTCGACTTCCGCGGGCCTTCGATTCAGGGGGGAATGTCTCACTGACGTGTCGTTAACTTGGGGTTTAGACGTTCACACAAGTAGTTGTAATGTGGCCGGTCAGCTTGAGCTGTGCTTGGCAGGCGACTATCTTTCCGTACACCTAGCCGGAAGTAGCGAAATGACTGCTTAGCTTCGCGGCAGTGCCTGGATGACCCAAGAGTGATGTCCTCCTTTTGGCCAGAATATAGCAACGCCCAGTGCCTCTGAGACAATCCTGTCGTTCGGCGTACCAGAGTGAAGCGGTGTCAAAAGTCCAGACGCGTCCTCCAGCTCCGAGAATGAAGACCGAGAATCCTAGTCGAAAGGTGACAGGGGTGATTTGCTGGTCCTTGATCGATCGCCAGTCAGCATGCGACAATCCCCACTGAGAGCGAGCCGTGATCAGGGACATGGGGAGTTGGACAACAGCTCCCGAAGCCAGTCTCCAGGGTGGCCATCGAATCGCCAGTCTCCCTTGCGTGTTGGCTGAGGGCGACGAAAGAAGACGGGCTGCTTTTCTTGGGTATCCGACGAGCAGCAGCGCTCGGGGCTTGTGTCCGGTGGCTGGTGTGCTTCTAATGAAGGACCTTTCTGTCGAGCAAGCGGCGGCGAACTGGTTCAACAGCAGGTTGCTGCATCGATGCAGGTCCTCGACTGCAGCACCTGATCAAATCTCTGCAAATCGATTCGTTGCTCGCCACCGGACGGACGAAGTAGCCCATCGTTCTGGCAGCCAACCATCGCCTTGCGGGTCGTTGAGGGGGAATGTGTGCCAATGACTAGCTTGGCACTTGCTAAACTGCCGCCTCGCCCATCAGCCCCGGGATGGCATTCTCGGCATTGCGGGGTCCACGACGCCGGCGCTGTGAGAGACGTGCCCTGGAGAATCGAGCAGATCTCGGGCTGGCGTTGAAAGAAAGTTTGGGGGTCTCTTGGTCCACCTGCGTCCGGACGTGGGATGACCCTCAGGACGCGGGATATCAATTACGTGCGAGCCGTGACCCAGACCGCTGGGCCAGCCACGCCTGTCTCCCAGCGCGGGATAAGAAACCACACATTCTTTCGGTGTGGGATGACCAGCGAGCACAGCAAACTTGGGCGCCCTCGCCGGCCCGTCGTGCGGTATTGCTCCAAGGTATCGCTGGCCGGTGACCATGCAGCAGTATGTGCAGCCAACGTATTCGTATGGCCACCTGTACTGGCGTGCGGAGAACTTGGGGTTGACACTGTCTGTGGGATTTCCGGGTGCGAGCGGCCCTCCAGTTCGCCGTTGTTCGGGCTCATGCATTGAATTTCTACTTGTTGTCAGGAGCCGTATGGAACGCAGATGCAAGGTAAAATCTGGTGCTTGAGGGGTCATGCGGCGTGGGGAAACTGTGCGTGCAGCGTACTGCGAGCCATCTGCATGAGGTAAGCCGAAAAGCGCCCCAGCCCGTGTGGGAGACCCCTAGATTGGACGGAACTATGTCGTTTGGCTGGCAAGTTGTAACGGTCTGTCTGGTTCGTCTTCTTTGTTCCGTCGACTTGAGGTGTGACGACAATGGGAACTCCCGTTATTGCGTCGTTGATGTTTGGCATGTTGCAGGGCTCAGTCTGTGCCGTCACCGGCTCCGGCTCGCCTACTCCGTGAGTATTACTGAGTGAAGCCCGGACTGCAGCCCATGAATCGTAGGTGTAATCTGACTTGATGAGGGCGTCGTCTCCTCCGGTCTGCTTCATAGTGAGCATGACTCCCTTCTGCCCCCTTCGATGCCCCCTCTTCTCCCAGTCAAGCACCCCGAGGGTAGAAGTCCATCTCAGCTAGCCGTGTTGACTGGTTGTTTCGTTGGCTTTCAATCGTCTGCGTGCTGCTATGAGTTCCTACTTCCTACACGAAAAAATGAGTCGCGGGATGGATGGGGGAGGGGCCGACTGCCAAGAGAGCCAAGTGGGCGGCGTGGGTCACCCGCTATCCTAATGTGGTTGGTGCTGAAAAATGAGCAAGCACTCACCGAGGCAGGCGGCTGTTTAGCAGGCATTCTCAGGGTGCTGCTCACGCGGTACGTATCTAATCAGTGCTATCTTGTCGCACCACCAGGCACAAAGCTCGCTGAGTCCCCGAATGCCGCCAGCGCCCCGCAGCTCACTTTTGAGGCAGGCAAGGCCCTGGGCAACCGGCCGGTCCAGCGACCAACAGACAGAGCCATGACGTGAAATCTTTCCCCCCGGCTGCTCTCTCCCACTCGCACCACTTCTTGCTCAATTGCTGCTCCGAATACAATGTGATACCGTCCGACGCCTACCTTTCACTCCAGAGACCCGACCGAACCACTATAGACGGCCTCGGCGATTTGCCAACCACTCTAGAGCCCTTCTCACCCTGGTCGCCTTCGTCATGGCTCCGAAAAACTCCAAGACTGCTGCGGCACACGACGACTCTAAAGCCGAGGGCCCAACGACGAAAGAAAAGCACTCGTCCGGCTCCGGAAGTCATACAAATGGCAAGATGCGGCGTGTAGCCAGCTCGACCGGCTCCAACCTGCGCGAGGTCACAAACGCCAGCGCGGCTGCCGAGGCGGTGCCCACGAAGCAGGAGGCACAGAACCCAGGGGTAAGGGGAGACATCCTCACGCCACGATCACGAAGCAGCCTGCTAACACTTTCGTTCTCCCAGCTGCAATGGAATACCTTCGACCGAGAGACGTTACACGCTTACCGTCGCGAGCACCACCTCAACACCCCAACCTCCTTCTCCTGCTCGTACCGCCAACTGGTCCTGTCACGACCCGGAGGCATCGGGCTGCAGTCCCCCACGATGGCCCGGAAGAAGGAGAACCGGAGGCAGAGCAAGGAGCAGCTCGCCATGACTGTGCGGAAACACTTCAACGGTCTCGGGGTCCAGGAGAACGACGTGATCGTGGACTTTATCCACAAGGTCAGGAGCCACTCCATCACTAAAGCCGATCGGAGCAGGCGAGCAAATCCCCACGACGCTTGACGACGCTATATGACGTACACCATATTGTTTTTGCGACCACAACATGCATCGACAGGAGCTGATTGGCATGCGATTCTGCTTTGGAAAGTGCAGCCTGAACAGGCTGCGTGGGCGACTTCGGAGTGCATAATGATACCTCATCCTAGGCGGGAAACCACATGGAAAAGAAAGGACGGACGGGGGCAAGAGAGACCCTCCGTCGCAGGCCTTTTACATAGTTACGATACTACATAATGATATTTGGGCGTTTGGGGTTCGGTCACTCACACAGTCCCTTCCCTTCTGCATGGCTGTGTGCAACCGGTGCCGGCTCCGAGTAGAGCAGAGCAGAGCAAGCAGGGCGGCGCACACAACGCGCATTTACCCGCGAATTTCCACCAGAACGCAACTTGATGTGGGGCGACTGCGCGCACCACTTAAAGTCGTCGCAAATTGCTGACGTTCGCCGTGGCAGCCCCGCGGCCCCTGAGCAGAAAGGCTCCGGGCGCGGGCCCAGTGGCCTCAGGCAGGCACCGGTGTTCGGCTTAGCATCGGGCCAAAAAAAAAAAAAAAAAAAAAGTTGATATCATAACCGTCCCGACTCAATGGCACGTCGAAGGGCAAAGAATTTGCGGGAGAGTTCCACTTGCGCGCTAGATGCTTTTCCGCGTCCCCCAGCGAATAATTAACCCTCTAAACTCTACGACACCACTGCTTCAGATGCGTCGACACAGCTCACAATGAATGCAAGCATTCTCACAAAGGCAGCGGCACCAGGCCGTCTGTTGTCGAGCCGTATTTCTTCTCGGCAATCCAAGCTCAAGGATGCCGTCTGCAAGCGCGCGGGCATCCATACCGGCGGCGGAACCTTTACCGCCAGATCCACGAAGTCTCCAGCTCCCCGAGTGACATGTCAAGCTCCCTCATCCAAGCGTGTAAGTGAAGCAACACCTGACATGAAGCTGCACAGCATGCTCACGAGCCTCATCATAGGCATTCCACGCAACGTCGACAGCCCTCGCACCGAGCGACCCGTACAAGACGTTGGGCGTCGACAAGTCGGCCTCGGCCGGCGACATCAAGAAGGCGTACTACGGCCTCGCGAAGAAGTACCACCCGGACACGAACAAGGACCCCTCGGCGAAGGAGACTTTCGGCGAGATCCAGAGCGCATACGAGATTCTCTCCGACCCCAAGAAGAAGCAGCAATTTGACCAGTTCGGCGCCGCCGGCTTCGACCCCAGCGGCGGCGCGGCACCCGGCGGTGACCCGTTTGGCGGAGCCGGCAACCCGTTCGGCGGCGGGTTCGGCGGCCAGGCCGGATTCGGCGGGGGCTTCAACTTTGACGATATCTTTTCGGCCTTCACCGGCGGCCAGGGCTCGCCGTTTGGCCGTCGCGGCGGCGCCGGGCGCAACCCGTTCCAGCAGGAGATACTCGTCGGCGACAACATCGAGGTGCAGTCGAGCATATCGTTCATGGAGGCGGCTAAGGGCACGAGCAAGACGATCACGATAACGCCCCTGACGGAGTGCGGCACGTGTACGGGCAGCGGCCTGAAGCAGGGCACCAAGCGGTCGGCGTGCGGCGCCTGCAACGGCTCGGGCACGCGGGTGCACTTCATGAACGGCGGCTTCCAGATGGCGTCGACGTGCAACGCGTGCGGCGGCACGGGCACGACAATCCCGCGCGGGTCCGAGTGCCGGTCCTGCGCGGGCAACGGCGTCGTCAGGGAGCGCAAGACCATCACCGTCGACATTCCCGCCGGCATCGAGGACGGCATGCGGCTGCGCGTCGACGGCGCCGGCGACGCCCCCGTCACGGGCAAGAACACGGAGCCCAACATGCGCACGCAAAAGGGCGACCTCTACGTGTTCGTGCGCGTGGCGTCCGACCCCAAGTTCCGCCGCATGGGCTCCGACATTCTCTACACGGCGTCGATCCCCATCACGACGGCGATGCTCGGCGGCGAGGTTACCGTGCCGACGCTCGACGGCCAGGTCAACGTCAAGGTCGCCACAGGCACCAACACGGGCGACAAGCTGACGCTCTCGGGCATGGGCATGAAGAAGCTCAACGGCCGCAGGGGCGGCTCGGGCGACCTCAAGGTGGAGTTCCGGGTCAACATGCCCAAGTACTTGAGCGCGAACCAGCGCACCCTGGTGGAGATGCTGGCGAACGAGATGGGCGACAAGACGGCCAAGAGAATCATGAACGTCACTCCCCAGGGGTGAGTTCCGTCCGCTGTGCCCCTGTCGCCCGGTTACTAACCAACACGGCGCAGGTCGCAGCCGATCTCGCCGGAAGACTCAGAGTCCCATAAGAATGAGGGCTTCCTCAAGTCCATGTGGCACACTCTGACGAACCACCCCGCCCACAAGGGCCCCGACGACGCCTCCGGCAAGCCTTCGGACCCCAACAAGAAGGACGACAAGGACGGCTCCAAGTGAGAGGCTGACCCCGGACGGTGAGCGTTGGCTGTAACGATATCGGCCTCCGACGGCGGGCGGCTCTTGACGTGCAGCAGACTTACGTTAATCATCATTAGACGGTGGTGGGGTGTTTGCATGGAAGGTGTTCAAAACGGTTGTTTTACTGATTCTGTCGTGTCCTTTTATTTACGAAACTATCCCTGGCGTCGGCAGAACGGGGAGACCACCTAGAAAGAAGTCCTTGCTTATGTAGTTTGGAGCAAAAGCCGATTGATGCTTGTATTATTCCGCAATGTACAATGTAGTATAGACATACGAGGGTGGGGGAGGGGAAGAAAAGCCAGCTCCCGCCGCGGAGGCCACTCACCTCAGACACTTTACAAACAGAGAAATCACCCAATCAATATCACGAAGGCATGTACATGAGCAACCAACACTTGTTCCCGCGGGTTGACTGTGAGGGGGAGGCTGAGGCGCCTAATTGTGATGGGGGCCGCGGCGCTTGAGGTCTGAAGCGTGAGGCGCTCGGTTGTGGAAAACGCGCGGTTGGCTCTGGCCGCTGATTGACATCTCCATGCCTCCGCATCTCGCCATGTACCCCGGCATGATGGCAGATGATGCGCAGAAGGCCGAGCGTTGCGGTCGCAGAAACGGCCTCCCCATGAAGATCAGTCAGTCTTGCAGTGACAATGGCATTCTGGGTCATTTTCTGCAGCACCTTGCAAAAGACACATGTCAAAGACACAACGACAGACAAGAGACACCGGACTATCGATCTCGCACAAAGAGCTCCCAACCCTGCAGAGCGGGCCGTTCGGACCAGTTCGCTTGACACTTTATCTCGCTCTTGAGGGGTCGGGATGATGTTCTCGGCCCCCCTGTCCGGCCCTGTGGTGGGGTTGCGAAGCGCCGGCCAATGAGGGGTACGAGAGGAGGGGCAGCTCTTCGCGTGGCCCGTCACCTGCATGAGGGCGGAAAGGGAGCATGGCCAATGTCGTTGCTCGGACATGGGATGTTCAAAGGAGCTGGAGATTTTGGTGGAATTATCGTGTTTCTGGTGTTTGAGGCCGAGCGGTGCTTTAATGTGGTCGACTTGGTGGGACAAGACGGCATCGTGAAGCTTGCGAAGTAGGTATGCTGAGTCAATAGTCTTGTCTGAGATGCGGGTGGTTCGCTTTCGTGCTTACTGCAGCAGACGCACATGGTGTAAGCAGCAATGATACCATGACGAGGAAGCGGTGCGGTCTGGCTGAGGGGCAGCCCGGCGGATATCACGAGATGGCCGGCTAATCGTACCTAAGCAGGGTGGAGTGAGGCAGCATGCAGAGACGGGGACGTCGCATCGGGTTGTCTCACTCTGCTCCGGCCAAAGTCAAAGGATAGGCCGTCCGGTTGTGTCGCGGGAGGACGAATTACATGCTGGTGAATGTCTGCTGGCCGGGGCTGAATACACGATGCTGCTGCTGCTGCTGCTGCTGCTGCGCGAACGGCTTTACTCATTGGCGACAGCATAGCTGCCGGGTCCGCAGCGACAGCGGGCGATGTCAGGTAGAAGTGAGGTGGGATAGCTGCCCGACGAATAGCTTGGTGTTGAGGTTGCCTGGCACCTCGCACTTGCGGAACGTGATGGAAAATGCAGGAAGAGCGTCGGTCAACCGCAGGTCGGTCAGGTGTTGGGCTTGACCGGGGTGAATGGGGAATAAGTGCTGAATGACGGACGTTGCATGTGGTGTATTTTGAAAGTTTCCGTTGTTGATGCCCTCGTTGAGAGAGGGAAGCATCCTCTGAGAGAAGGGCGTACCTTGCATCTCTTCATCGACCTCAAGCGCCCCTCGGTCGGGCCCCGCCAGAAAGCCAGGCACCTCCCCGGTTCCTGGTGGGCGGGCAATCATTCATCACTGCCTGGCGGCTACGTACGACAGCCTAACGTGCCCTGCTGCGGACCACGTTATGCGCCAACGTCAACACCACGCATAAAGCTTCGTTCGACCTGCCCGCCCAGCTCGCCTAGCTGAGAGTTACAAGACGACAGGACACCGCTCCTCCATCACTCAGCCTTCCTTTCCCACCTCTCTCATCGCCCCCAACTCTCCGAGCCCTGCCCTCACACCCGGCACTCACCGTCTGTCGGGCGCTTCGTCCACCAAACACCGCCGCCGCCGCCGCCGGAGACGACAAGAGTCACACAAAGACCAGACACCTCGACGCGCCGGCAGCTACCTATCTAGGGAGCTCTCAGCGCCCGTCTGCCCCGCCTCAATCAACTGCCCGTCTCTCATTTCAACCCCAGCACTATGACCTCACAGGCAGACCAACTCGGGACACCTCTTGACAAGCAATAGAACCAAACGCACCCGCAACATCTAATAAGGCCCTCGCTGCTACCAGCATATCGTGCCACCGAACTACACACACCTCGGAAGACTTGAGACCGGCCGCTGCACGCTAGCTCTTCTCCATCAGCACCACCGGCCAACCTCTGAAGAGCAGTAACCGTACCTTACAGAGTACGTACAGAAAGAGGGTGACGGATCCCAGAGTGCACTGACACTGGTCTGCCTCAATCGCCGCTTCCCGCCCCCACCCCGCACTCCGCACACAACAGCACAAGACAGCAACCACCGACTCTATCCTGACCCGGCGAGCTGCATCCGTCCACCTCCTGCTGCGAGTTCCTGACCAAACACCCAGAGGTCACCTCCGACGAGGCCCCGTATGCCACCCAATCATCACGGCATCTGAATAAGGCTGCCCGTCCACAGCAAAACACTCACCCCCCGCGAGACTGCGAACCACTTGATCCATCGCCCGGGCCCCAAGCTCGCCCTCATCTTTCAAAATGACGCAGTCTCCCATGATCTCCTCGCCCCTCAAGGCCACAAACGAGATCGACTGGGTCTCCCCGCTGAAAGACTACATCCGCAACATATACGGCGATGATCCCGAGCGCTACGCCGAGGAATGCGCCACCCTCAACCGCCTGCGACAGGATGTGAGGGGCGCCGGCAAGGACAGCACCTCGGGTCGCGACATGCTCTACAGATACTATGGCCAGCTCGAGCTGCTCGATTTGCGCTTCCCCGTCGACGAGCAGCACATCAAGATCTCCTTCACATGGTACTACCCGCTCCCCAAGCTAGCCGCGCCCGCAGACTGACACCCGCCGATCACAGGTTCGACGCCTTCACCCACAAGTCGACAGCACAGTACTCCCTCGCGTTCGAGAAAGCCTCCATAATCTTCAACATATCCGCCGTGCTGTCATGCCACGCCGCGCACCAGACGAGATCCGAGGAGTCGGGCCTCAAGACGGCGTACCACTCGTTCCAGGCGTCCGCCGGCATGTTCACGTACATCAACGAGAACTTTCTGCACGCGCCCTCGTCCGACCTGAGCCGCGAGACCGTCAAGACGCTCATCGCCATCATGCTGGCTCAAGCGCAGGAGGTGTTCCTGGAGAAACAGGTGGCCGACAAGAAGAAGGTGGCGCTGCTTGCCAAGCTTGCCAGCCAAGCTGCGTACCTGTATGCGCAGGCGGTCGAAGGCGTCCAGGACAACTTCAACAGGGCCATATTCGAGAAGGTCTGGCTTCTCATGGTGCAGGTAAGATCTGCCTTTTTGTCACCCCACCGTGCAGCTTGGCGAGCTTGGCGAGCTTCGGCTAACGCTCGTAGGTAAAATCCAACCTCATGAGCTCCATGTCCCAGTACTATCAGGCCCTGGCCGACGACGAGGCAGGCCAACACGGAAATGCCGTTGCCAGGTTGCAGGCGGCCGAATCGCAAGGGAAGGAGGCCAATCGCATCGCTACTAACTTCCCCAATTCCGTGCCACCAAACTCCAACCTCAGCGCCGAGACGGGAGGGCTCCTCGTTGAGTTTACAAAAAGGCACCTGTCGACCGTGCAAGATAAGCTGAAGGAGCTGAGCAAGGACAATGACTTTATTTACCACCAAACCGTGCCTGCGGAGGCGAGCCTCGCACCGGTCGCCAAGCTCCCGGCATCCAAGCCGATTCCCGTGAGCGAACTGTACGCCGGGCAGGATATTCAACGGATCACCGGCCCAGACCTGTTCTCCAAGATTGTGCCTCTGGCTGTGACGGAGTCGGCCAGTCTCTACGACGAGGAGAAGGCCAAGCTTATCAGAGCGGAGACGGAACGAGTAGACATTGCCAACAGCGAGATGGCTGCCAGTCTGGATTATCTAAGGTTACCCGGTGCTTTGCAGGTTCTAAAGGGCGGTTTCGACCAGGAGATTCTTCCCGACGACGAGTTTAGGACGTGGTGCGAGGACGTTGCAGGACATGAGGACCCGACATCCATATTTGAGACACTCCGGACCGAAAAGGACTACATCATCACCACGCTGGACAAGAACACGAAGCAGCTGGACATGGAGGAGAGTGTTTGCGAAAAGATGCGCTCAAAATACGAAAACGAATGGACGCAACAACCGAGTTCCAGGTTGACCACGACGCTGCGGAGCGACATTAGGAATTATCGAGAAGCATTGGAGGAAGCAGCGCAGAGCGACAACCAATTAGCGGCCAAGCTGCGGCAAAACGAGGCTGAATTCGAGGAGATGAGGGCTGCCGCGGCACACGGAAACATTGACTCTTTGTTCCAGCGTGCGGTCGGCAAGGTCCGCGGCAAGACGAGCAACACGGCCAGCCCTTCTGGCAACGAGAACCTGCTGGACATGGACTTTGACGAAGAGGGCCCCAGTGTCGTCGATCAGATCCACAAAGTGGAGGAGATCATGAAGAAGCTGAACCTGATCAAGAGGGAGCGCAATCAAGTGTTGAAAGACCTCAAGGAAAAGGTAGGTCCTGGTGTTGATGCGTGCAGAAAAGATGCTGACCAAGACAGGTTCACAACGACGACATTTCAGAGATTCTCATACTCAACAAAAAGTCCATTTCAAACTACGAGTCTCAGCTGTTCCAGTCGGAGCTGGAAAAGTTCAGGCCATACCAGAACCGGCTGCTTCAGGCAAACCACAAGCAGTCGGCGTTGA